AGAAAGAAACCTTCCTTTATTTTAAAATTTATATAATTTACTTTATAAAACTAGCATAACCCTGATACCAAACCTGACAACCATTAGCACAAAACCACTATGGACAAATCTCAAAATTCTAAAAAATAAATAATATATTTATATTTTTTGTAGACTATTGAGAGACTAATGCTCCATAAATCTATATTTTTAAAATTTCAACAATACACATGTTACTTGTATAATAATGAAAGCAACAAAAGTCATAGCAGCTTTACAAAAATATTCAGAAACCATGCCCACCCAAATAGAATACATCTGAATCCTAGCCAAGCAATCCACCTCATTCACCAAGGATGAGAGCCAGAATCGGAAACTCGATTGGTATCAGCTTAAAGATGCCAAAAAATAGAAGAAGTATATCAGGTTGGCTGTCCTCAGGGATGTGTGGGAGCTGATTAACCCAAGGCAACTGTGTTTCCACACTGCCCCTGGATGGCGTGCCTGTGGGCTTTTAGACATGCACATGTGGACAAACGTAGTAAAACTTTCTCAAGCCTCAGTCTCACCTGTGCACAATGAGCGACAGATAGGAGGCAGATGGAATCTGTGCTTGCTGTCTAAGGGTCTGTCCTCTCCAAGTCTCTGTAATTTTCTGAAACCACCCATCATCTAAAGATAATTGTGACACTTAGAATTATATTCATCTATTTAAATAAGATCTATTTAACCAGGTCCTGTGTTCAGTGCCCAGACTAGGGAGAAGAAAGACACAGTCCTTGCCCTCCAGGCACTTTTCACCTACAAGGGAGGACAAAAATGGAAATGATTACAAGGTACCAGGTAAATTCTGGGACCTAAGTGTTCATAGGGCCTCAGGAAAATGCAAAAGAGGGAGTCATTTATTAGCAATAAACTCCTTTCCCTTTCCTCCCCAACTTACTCTTTCAATGCTTGCTACAATAATTACACTTTACTAACTTATCTCTATAATTCTTACATTACATATGAAGCTTAGAGAGTTAAAGCACTGGTTGTGGGTCACATAGCTTGGAAGTGGCAGAGCCAGAATCAAGCCCAGGCCTTCCAGACCCCAAAGCCTACCTGATCCATGGCGAACTGTGCTAGACTGAGACATGGAACTGAACAAGTCATGAAGTCTCCCTCGGAAAGTTTGCCCTCCAGTGGGAGAGAAACCATGTTTCTGAGAATCCACATGTGAGGAACAGGAGGACATGAGAGGGTAATGGAGAGGTACTGGGAAGAGTCTTTGAAGGGCTTTTGCCCTAAAAAAAAAAATTGAAAAACTGATTAGGCTTTTGTAGAACAATGTTCAAAGAGATCATAGTTTCCTGAGTGGCTTTCCAACCTACCCTCCATACACACAGACAAATAATGTCTGCTTAAAAGTAGGCAATAATCAAAAGATAAGATGGTTGGATAGATGAACTGATATATGATAAAGCAAATTTAGTAAATGGTTAACAATTGTAGAAACTAGGTTTTAAGTATCCGCGTATGGCTATTCATGCTACAATTTTTTCAGTCTTTCTATATGTTTGAAAATTTTCACACACACAAAAAGTTGAGGGGGTGAGAAGTAGGCAATAGTTGAGCGGGGGGAAGTAGGAGACTGGAATTTTCTAGTGCTGCCCCATATGGTAGCCACTAGCACATGGCTACTGAGCACATGAAGTGTGGCTAGTCTGAGTTGAGAGGTTCCGTATGTGTGATATAGACTCCAGATTTCAAACAGTACACAAAAGAATGTAAAATACCTCATTCATAATTTTTATCCTGTTTACATTTTTAAATGATAATTTTTTATGTATTGGGTTAAATAAAATATATTATTGAAATTAATTTCACCTGTTTCTTTTGATCCTTTTAATGTGGCTACCAGAAAGTTTTAAATTACATACTCGACGTGCATTGTATTTCTACTGGACAGCACCCTCTCTAGAGCATCCGGTCACCACTGGTCCTATTCCTTTGCTTGCTCTCACCTGCTCTGGACCAGCAAGCCCTGTGCTTGAGGAGGCAGAGATGAATCAAACAGAGTTACAGCCTCAGAGAGCTGAAGGTCAAGGCTCTGGGGACAAGCCAAGACAGACCTGAAAACATCAGATTATTTCAGCATCTTGGGACTCTCAGTGACCTCCTTGCTTGTGGGTGTCTGTGTGGTGCCTTTTGGGTTAGATACGGGGCAGAACCTTCCTAGAAAACATTTGGAAATATGTTAGGGGTGTTTGAGGTTGTCAGGATGACTGGGGAGAGGGGGTCAGTATTTCACATACCGAGGCCAGGAATCATAAACATCCTGCAATGAGTTGGATAGTCCCTCGTGAGGAAGAATTGTCCTGTCCAAAACTCCAATAGTGTGACTATTGAGAAACCCAGAAGGAGAGGAAGAATGACGCACCTGTTCCTTCCTTCTGGATAAGAACTCTGAGACCTGTTTTCCAACCCACACAGGGGCAGCACCATTATGTCTGTGGAAGCAAGAATGAGGAGCTTCTAGGGGTACTGAGTCAAATAATCCAATTCCATATCTCCTTAGGGTGGGAAAGACAGCTTGGGACAGTCAGGGAAACTCAAGGGCTTGGCTCCCAGCAGGAAACCTGTCTGATTACCAAGACTGCCAAAGGCTGTGTTCAATTAGCCCAGAATAATTGGCCTTCTGGGAGACTGTCTCCAGAGCTCAGGCCCTAAAATGCCAGAGGAACAGAAATCTGGGGGCAGTGCCCAGTAAAAATGAGTCATCCTTCTGGTCTGACCTCGGGGGCTGAGACTATGGGAGATGGGGAGTGTGGGTGGTGTCCCGCATAACTCTGGTTGAAGGACACGGAGCTCCCAAAACACTGTAGATCCCAGAATGCCTTGGTTGAGGGACAGATAAAGCTGTGAGGACTCAGAGGGAGGTAAAGGGCTTGAATAAACATTTCTCCAAAGAAGTTATAGAATGGCCAATAAGCACATGAAAAGATGCTCAATATCACTAAATCACTAGAGAAATGCAAATCAAAACTACAATGAGATACCATCTCACACCCATTAGGATGGCTACTATCAAAAAACAAAAAACAAGTGTTAGTATGTGGAGAAATTGGAACCCTTGTGCACTGTTGGTGAGAATGTAAAGTGGTACAGCTGCTATGGAAAACAGTATGGAGTTTCCTCAAAAACTTAAAAATAGAATTACCATATGATCCAGCAATTCCACTTCTGGGAATATACCCACCAAAACTGAAAGCAGGGTCTTGAAGAGATATTTGTATATCCATGTTCATAGCAGTATTATTCACAATAGCTAAAATGTGAAAGCAACCTAAGTTTTCATCAGCTGATGAATGAATAAGCAAAATGTGGTGTATACATACAATAGAATATTACTCAGCCTTTTAAAAAAGGAAATTCTGATATATGCTACAACACAGATGAACCTTGAGGATATTATGCTAAGTGAAGTAAACTAGTCACAAAAAGACAAATACTATATGATTCCACTTGTATTTGGTACTTAGAGTAGTCAAAATCATAAAGGCATAAATTGTAATGGTGGCTGCCAGGGACTGGGGGGAAGGGAGAGTGAAGAGTTATTGTTTAATAGGTGTAGATTTTCAGTTTTACAAGATAAAGAGTTATGGGGATTGGTGATGGGGATGGTTGCACAACAATATGAAGGTATTTAATACCACCTAACTGTACATTAAAAATGGTTAAGGTGGTAAATTTTGTGTTATGTGTTTTTTACCACAATAAAAATACATATTTATAAGAAATAAAATTTTAAAATGGAGAAATATACTATGTTCATAGACTGGAATATTCAATATCAGTTGTCCCCAAATTAATCTATAGATTCAATGCAATTCTTACAAAAACACTGAAGGTTTTTTGTTTGTTTGTTTGTTTGGTTGGTTTTTTTAAAGATTTTTATTGGGGAATTGGGGGGATGGGAACAATGCTGGGGAATTGGGGGGAGGGGAACAGACAAGTTGCTGTCCTTTTGTTCTTCAGTCTAGTTGTGGAGGACGTTGCTTCACTGGCCCAAGTTGGCACCATCATTGCGCTCTTCACAGGTGAGGCAGATCAGTCGCTGGCTTCTGGACAGCCGCTCACGCTGGCTGCTGGCTACACAGGGTAGCCCATGGCAATCCACTGCCACAGGGGCTGCAGCCTACGCTGTCGCCGAAGACTCACGGCAGCCCAGCTCCAGGTTGATCTTAGCTGTGGAGGGCAGTGTCACTGGCCCTCATATGTGGGATCCAAACCGGGGCCCTCTGGCGTTCCAAGCCAGTTCTTAACCATTGCGCCACTCGGCCGGCCCTGAAGGTTTTTTCTTTTAAAGCTTGTCAAGCTGATACTAAAATATTTATGAAATCATCAAGGTATTCATGAAGCAGAATAACAAGGCAAGAGGGCTCATCTTACCATATATCAAGAATTATTCTAAAGCTATTGTTATTAAGACAGTGCAATATCTTTGCAATGATAGACAAACAGACCACCATAAAGACCTCAAAAAAGACCCACACATACAAGGAAATTTGATTTATGAGATAGTATTGTAAATTATTAGAGAAGGGATGGTATTTTTCAACCAATAGCTTTGTTTTAGCCAACCTACCTTTTAATGCCTAATAAACAAGTGAATATAGGATGAGAAGTCTGAAGTCAATATAATTTTTGATCCTTGGTAAGAAATTTGGTTTTTTCTCCCTGGAGGACTTTAGGAATTTTCTTCAGTGGAGCTCTGAAATATGTCTCGATGTGAATGATTTTGTGTTTGTTTGTATTCCTTCAATCTGTTTGGTGGGATCTTTCAATCTGTACAGTAACATATTCCTTCAGCCCTGATAAATTTTCTTCTGCTAATACAGATGATGATGATGATGATGATGAAGAATAGATAATTTCTCCCTTTGACCCTCATTCTTTCCATTCAATTCACCTCCAATTCCTATTATTTGGGATGAAAATGATGGAACTATATTTCATATCATTTGATATTTCTTTCCACATATTTACGTTTCGGCATTCCTTAACTTGATCCTCTGGCTTGATAATCTGCTCTTCAAATGTGTCCATTCATATTTAGCCAATTCACAAAGTCTTCTGTAGGATTTTTTCGTTTTGTTTTGTTGTTTCTTTGTTTTTAGTTAAACAATCAACAGAATCTCTAATTGGTTTTTATTTTCATGTTAGCTTGTTATTTTTCCATGAATGAAAAATCTACTCTTGTCCCTCTGATGATATTAATCACACTTCTCTAGAAGTCTTCCGTTTACTTTATTAATTGTTCCTTCAATGTTATTTCCTCTTCATTGGGTTTAGTTTCTCTCTTTTATGGTGTTGGTTTTCCTTAAGTGTGTGCTGATTTTTATTGATGGGAACATCTGATTTCAGATTCCCTGCTGGCCTGTCTGTGGACTCAGCTTCCATTTCCTATCTCCAGGAATTATAATGGAGGGACTGGAGGTGTTACTGGGAGGATATCAACTCGATGTGGTAGCTCCCCATTCTTCCAGGGACTTCTCTGAGTCACTGGTTCAAGCATTGACAATGATTGACTCAGTCTGAGCACAAATATCTCTGAGGCTCTACCTGGAGCTGCCCACATACTGCAAATTTGAGTTTCTAACCAGTCATCCTGAGGGTTGCCTCAGACCTTTCCTCTTGCTCCTTGTAACTGTTGCCTCTGAGTTCAGAAAGCCCACAAAACCATTCCCTTTGTTTGGCTGTGGTTTCCTCCAACAATCCAATCTCACTTGCTTACCATTTTTCAGGAATACCTCTTTCAGGGTGGAACTCTCCGGTTTTTCAGTCCTATTAAGAATTTATTTTCATTTAAACTTACACGCGTTCTATCTTCTACAATTTTTCAGGAAGATCGCCAAGCAACTGTTGAGCCTCCAAACTGGGCTGGTGCCAAGGACTCAAGCTCTTACTTTCTGGACCAAAGTTGGGACATAGTTTTCTGATTTGTAAGTTTATTGTTATGAAAATCCATCCAAATTCATAAACATGAAAGTATATTTGAGAGTTTATTCTCACTGGAAATGACATAAAGATAATTATAAAGCTTAGAGAATAGGACATATCCATAAATAGATTGCTGGATTCTGAGAGAATATTCTTTTAACACAGACATGGTCTCTTTCCCCAAAGTCTCCTAGCAGTGAGAAACTTGTAGAACCCAAAGTGGCAGATGGCATGCAAATTTTATATTTACCAGATTCCTAAATCTATCATCCTGCTGCCATAGTGATCTGCCTGGGCCTAAGCCCTGGAATTTAGGACTTTATATCTGTGCCAAGCCCCCATCTTCAAAGGTTGTGAAGAATGGCCTGATGCCCACCAGGTGGAGCCCAGGAGCTGGAGCCCATCAGCTCACCCCCAAATCAATCCTGCACCTATGAGAAGAATAAAACATCATAAGGAAGAAGCATTTATCCCAGAAATACAAGGAGAGTTTAACATTAGGAATATATATATATATATATATATTGATGGAAATCACTTCATTAATATATTAGAAAGAGAAGAGCTGTACAAGTATGATCAAGACATAGTAAATAACCTGGATTAATGGAGAGACGAACTATGTTCCCAGATGAGAAAACTGGATTTTATAAAAATGTCAATTCTGCCCCTAAATCTCTCAATAAAGGCAAAATACTTACATAAATACATACATACATAGAATCCAGAAAAAATAAGAGTAAAATTCTAAAGATTTTTTGTGAAATTTGACAAGCTGATTGCAAATTTTATCTCGAAAAGAAAATGTGCAAGAATACCCAAAAAATTTATTGGAGAAGGCTAGTAAGAGGAATTTGCCTTATCAGATATCAATACGCACTAGAAATCTACAGTGATTCAAAAAGTGTGGTAGGAGGATAATAAGAGACAATAAAATTTCTTTAGAACATAACAGTGGATCTAGAAAGAGACTCATAAATATATGAGAAATTAGTACATGATGAAGACGGCATTTTCAAATAATGAGAAAAGAATTATTTTACAATAAATTCTGGTGGGGCAAGTAAATAAACTTACCCTAACTCACTCAATGCACAAATACATGCATACATACATACATACATACATACATACATACATACAATCCAGATAAAATAAGTAAAAATTTAAAACAAAAGTCTAAAAGTATTACAAGAAAATATAGAAAGGAAAATGTACTTAAAACATTGGAAATATGAAGGAAGAAGCAAAAGAAAAGGAAGACACAATTTAAGAAAGACACTATTTTAAAGAAAGGAAATTTTAAATAGCAAAAATTAACATGTGAAATTTTGCCTTAGCATTCCTCACCATCAGAGAAATGCAAAATAAAACAACAAGATGTCCTTTTTAATCAATCATAATGAAAAATTTAAAAGGCTGATACAGCACCTAGCATCTGTCGAGGTATAGAAAAATGGGTACTGTTGTGCACTTGTGGACATTTTTTTTTTTTTAAGATTTTATTGGGGAATTGGGGGAGGGGAACAGCGCTGAGGAATCGGGGAAAGGGGAACAGACAAGTTGCTGTTGTTTTGTTCTTCAGTCTAGTTGTGAAAGGATGTTGCTTCACTGGCCCAAGTTGGCACCATCATTGCACTCTTCCCGGGTGAGGCAGATCAGTCGCCGGCTTCTGGACAGCCGCTCACTGCGACTGCTGGCCGCTCACGCTGGCTGCTGGCTATACACGGTAACTCACTGCCACAGGGGCTGCAGCACACTGCAGCCCAGCTCCAGGTCGAGCTATTGTTCAGCAACTTAGCTGTAGAGGGCAGTGTCACTGGCCCTCATATGTGGGTTCCAAACCGGGGCCCTCTGGCATCCAAAGCCAGCTCTTAACCAATGCGCCACTTGGCCGGCCCCACTTGGTGGACATTTTAATTAACATAGCTTTTCTGAGGGTAGTTTAGTGCATCTTCAAAAATTTAAATAATTGTGCTTTTGATCCAATAATTTCCTATCAAGATACCTATCCTAGAGAGATATCTATACATGTGCCAAAAGAGTTGTATAAAATAATATTCTTTGCAGTATTGTTTGCATGGCAAAAGAAAAACACTGGATATAGCCTAAATGTCTAACAACAGAAATAGTAAAATAAGCTATAGAATATTCATACAATAGAATATTATGTACCACTTTAGGAGAAACAAATAATTATATGAAAATGTCTATAAGACATATTGTAATTTATTAAACGCAAACCTCGCATATTAAGGAAAGGCAATGGGGATTTTTTAACACCCAAATAGAAATTTGAAAAATGAAAAATATAATTTCTGAGATAAAAAATACATTGGATGACTAAATGCAACATGGTATCTTGGATTGGCTCCAGGAACAGAAAAAGGACATTAGTGGAAAAACTGGTGAAATTTGAATAAAGCCTGTAGTTTAAATAATAGCATTTAACAATGCTAATGTCTTAGTTTTAAATTTTTTAAAAAATTTAAAAACTTTTAAATTTTAAAAATAGTTGATTGTTTGGAGCAAAAGTAATAAGAATTATAGGATATATAACATATGTGGGATGAAAATATATGACAATAGTTCAAAGCCCAGGAGAGGGGAAATGGAAGTACACTATTCAAAGGTTTATACACTATAGGTGAAGTGGTGTAATATTAATTAAAGGTAAAATTACATTATAATTAAAGCAACCACTAAAAATAAAAGATAACTAGTAAGCCAATAAATGAGATAAAATGAAATCATAAAAAATACTTAATCCAAAAAAATACAGAACAAAATTTTAAAGGATAATAGAAAACAAATAGCAAGACAGGATTTAAACCCAACTATATCCATAATCATTCTAAATGTAAATGGTCTAAACATCCCAATTAAAACACAGAGATTGTCAGATTTAATTTTTTTATTATTATTAGTTTCAGGTGTAAATGATTAGACATTTACACACCTCACAAAGTGATAACCACAATGAGTCTACTACCCATCTGACACCATACGTAGCTATTATAACACTATTAACTATATTCCGTTTGCTGTACTTTACATCCTTTGACTATATATATGTTTTTTATTATAGTTGACATTTGTCATATTTAATTTTTAAAGACCCAACTCTATATTAATAGCATATGAAATAGACTTTAGAGGAAAATAATTTTAACAGGGATAAAGAGGGTCATTTGAAAATGACAAAAGGGTCAATTCATCAAGAGAACTTAATCCTAAAAGTTTATGTATCTAGTAACAGAGCTTCAAAATACACAAAGCAAAAACTGAAAGAACAGAAAGGAGAAGTAGACAAATCTATCATCATAGTCAAAGTTTCATTACCCCTCCCTCAATCACTGAAAAACAAGCCGACAGAAAATGAGGAAGTATATAGAAGATTTGTACTCCACTCCCAACCAACTTGACACAATTGACATTTATAGAACACTCCACCCAATAATGCAGGCTGCACAATTTTTTCAGTTTCACAGAGAATACTTATCATGCAGCAGGGCAGGCCACCAATATTTCCAATCCCCTACAACTCTGAGTTGCAGAAGCCAAATTTATGGTCAGTGTGGCTGAGAGATTGGGGGCTTCCTTTCTCCCATCAACCTCCTCTCATAAGGTGGAGGCTCTACCCCAGGTGCAGCAGTTAGAGGATACTTGGACCCCAATCTCACTCACCCCACTTGTAAGGCACTGGGAGAGGCAAGTTGAATAAATAGTTAAATAAAAATCCAACAATAGTAACAATACCCAAAGTAAAATAACCTTATTTGATTAAAAAGGCCCGTAAGCCCGCAGAGGCGTGGACTCTGAGAACTAGAAGGCATCTCAGGAGGAACCGTTCTAGATGACTGTTTTGAGCACCGAGAAGAGGGTCCAGGTAGAGGTGAGAGGCCCAGTCATTAACTGACCTGGGCAGGCTGGCTTTGCATTGATTGATGGATATATGATTCAAGGGTGGACAGATCATTGTCCTAGAGTGAGCCCAGGACCATGGTCTACCTCACTAAGTGACACTGAGCCAGTTCCTTGACCTCTCTAGGGTGTTTTTCCTGTCCATACAATGAGGATTGGTAAAGATGGTCTATAGGACTTCCTTGCTCTGATAGTCTAAAAGGTTGCTTCTCTTCATCCTTTTTACTCCTCTATTACATTCTTTCCAGATTTTGCATTTTTTTTAAGATCCTTATGACAGTTGAGCCAAGACCTCTAACTCTCCTGAAAGCAACTCTATCGTTTGTTCACTCACTCATTCATTTATTCTTAAATGTATTCTTTGAGAATTGCTTATGCATTCATTTAATTGTTTATCCATTCATTTATTCATTCTGTAAACATCCCTGGGCCAGCACTGGCTGGGGACTGACCTATAGGGTGGATCCCTGGCCCTGAGCCACTTTCTCCAACTTTTTCACACCAATTAAGATTTTTAAATATACTCTGTATAATTGGGTCTTTGGGACATCATCCCTGAAGTACCCCAAAGTTTCTAAGCTGGGCACATTTCCCTTCTCCCTCTAAATTGTCTTGGGGATCGCACAGTCTCTTGGCAAAGAGGAAGCTTTGAAAGGTGCCTCTTTCATTTGGCCTGCTCCCTGGGAGGCTGTCAGCCGGGATGGAGCTAGAAGCTTCCCAGGTCAGGGAGTGCCTGGCTGTCCACAGTAAACTACTGGGGACCTGTTCCACCTCTAGCCCAGCAGAATTTCCGAATTCTACCAAACCTGACACACTTTACAGAACTCCGCTGAGGCCTAAGCACTTTGTCTAATTCCACCACATTCTAAAAGTTCCACTTAATTCTATCCAGTTGCAAACACTTCACTGAACTCTCTTGAAAGCCTAGGTCTGTTTTCTTAGTTTGGAAAGCTGAGTCAGTGTGAAACCCCATGTCCTCGCACTGGGGTTCCCTGTAGAGAGGAGGCTCCGGCCTGTTTTCTTTCGTGCATTCCCCCAGCTCCAGTCAGAGAAGGTGTCTGGTCTCACATCCTCAGACATTTCCCAGGGAGCCAGGGGCTTGCTTCCGGAAGAGCCTGAAGGTAAGTGAAGACATGGGGATGTGGAGGCAGGGGAAGGGGCCTAGGCTGGGTTCAGGAGCCCAGGGAAGTACTGGAGCCCTGGCTTCCCCCTCTAACTCTCTGTGTGATACTGGGCAAGCCCCTTCCCCTCTCTGGGCCTCAGTTTCCCCACATATAACATGGGAGTGGTCTTGCTGATCTGTAAGATGCCTCCCAGCTCTGTGAGTGTCACGTAAGCTAGGAACAGCTCTTATTTGGCAGCCTTCTCACTCCCAATTTGTCTTAGCCCCAGGAAGTCACAACGAGACAGAAAGAAGTTGGCTGTGACCAGGCCAGACGCCTCAACTTGGCCTTCAGAACCTGGATGAGGAGAAGAGGAAGGTGGCAGGGGTAGGCAACTTGCAGGAAGTGACAGAGGTGAGCACCATCGTAGAGGTATAAACACAGGGCTGTGGGGTGCGGAGAGAGGGCTCAAGGTGGCCCAGGAGAAGGTAAAGGAAGGCTCCCCAGGGGAGGTGGTATTTGAACTGAATTTTAGGTGGCACTTGGCCAGGAGAGAAGTGAAGGCAGAATGGACACTGTGGGCTCAGCACGCAAAGCTTCCTGGCCCTACTTTGGGAACCCGAGTTCTGCGGCCACATCACTTCTGTCCCCCTCTCCCACAGGCCCCATCTCCCAGCTGAATGAAGAAAGGTAGAGCAGGGAGGTTCAGATCCTCAGCGCTCAGGATGGGAAGCAGACCAGACACTGAGCTGGTTTGGTGATCTTGGCCCTGTTCTGAGGTTCCTTTGTCCTCCTGGTTCATCCCGGACAGAGGTTGCTCCCCACTCTCAGGGTTGCTCCTTTTTTTTTTTTTTTAAGATTTTTATTGGGGATTGGAGGGATGGGAACAGAGCTGGGGAATTGGGGGAAGGGGAACAGANCCCAGGAAATCAAATATACTCATATAATCGACATTCCAGAAGTAGATAACAGAGACCATGGAGAAACAATCATTAAAGATATGCGGAAATTTTCCTGACCTGAAGAATTAAGTCTTTAGATCAAAGGTGCACTGAGTACTAGGCAAACTATTTGAAGAGGGCAGGCCAGACCTTTTAGATAAGGTATATCTGGGTGAAAATTTAACAGAAAAAAATGTAAACAGTGAAGTGCTTTCCTTTATACATTTAAATGAATAATTGCCAAAATATGGAAGCAACCAAGATATCCATTGGTAGATGAATGAATACATAAAAAATAAGGTACATTCAGACAATGGAATATTATTCAACACTAAAAAGAAATGAGCTATCAAGCCATGAAAAGACACAGAGGAATCTTAAAATGCATATAAATAAGTGACAGAAGCCAATCTGAAAAGGCTACATACTATATGATGCCAAGTATAGGACATTCTAGAAAAGGCAAAACTATGGAGACAGTAGAAGGTTCAGTGGTTTCCAGGAGCTAACAAGGAGGGAAGGATAAATAAATAGGTGAAACACGGGATTTTTTGGACGGTGAAACTATTCTGTAGGACACTGTAATGGTGGATGCATGTCATTATACATTTGTCAAAACCCTTAGACTGTCCAACGCCAAGAGCCAAACCTAATGTAAACTATGGACTTGGGGTGACCATGATGTGTCAATGTATTGGGTTGTTGGAAAAGTCATGATGTATTTTTTTCTATGTTTTTCATTGCAAAAATGCGTCATGACTTTTCCGACAGCCCAGTAGGTTCACCGATAGTAATAAAGGTGCCACTGTGGTGCCAGATGTTGATAGTAGGGGAAGCTGTTGGGGGGGGGGGAGTATTATGAGAAATCTCTGTACCTTCCATTCAATTTTGCTGTGAANCTGTCGTTTTGTTCTTCAGTCTAGTTGTGGAGGACGTTGCTTCACTGGCCCAAGTTGGCACCATCATTGCGCTCTTCCCAGGCGAGGCAGATCAGTCACCGGCTTCTGGACAGCCACTCACTGCGGCTCGCTGGCAGCTCACGCTGGCTGCTGGCTACACACGGTAGCCCATGAGGGTTGCTCCTTCTTTAGTGACACTTCCACTAACACCCTGCCTGGTCTCCATGAACTTCCTCCCAAGAAGCAGTAGTCCTGCCCAACCAACAGTCTGCATTACTGGTTCTGGGAGTGTGTGTGTGTGTGTGTGTGTGTGTGTGTGTGTGTGTGTGTGTGTGAAAGAGAGAGAGAGAGAGAGAGAAAGAGAGAGAGGGTGCCTGCTATGCATGTACATACACTCATGTGAATGACCGTCCACGTACACATGAGCCTATGTGTGACATGCATACTCATAGGTTCATATGCGTGTACCTGAGTGTCAAATGTGTGTTTGGGCACACACATGTAGGTGGGTGCATATGTGCTGACCCTATGTGGGTGTATGTGTATGTGTTTTCTAACAGGTAGTCAGTGGCTGCAGATGTCTGCTAGTGACTTTAGGGGATAAACTATAGTGTGTGGAACCATATGCAGAGAAGGCTGTGGCCTGGCCTGGTCACAGAGGCTGCAGGAAAGCATAGTACCAACTCTGTACCTCAGCCCAGCCCTGGCACAGTGCCTGCTGCTATTGACACTCTACTGAATGGGGGTGCCTCTCCAGGAACCCAGCCTCAGCGTTTCCCAGCTAAAACTTGAAGGCAGCTCATAGCTCACACTCCCCTGACCCCACAATGTTTCTAGACACAATAGAGCTGAGGCAAGACCCTCTATCTGAGGTCCCAGGGTGAGGTCAGGGCTCCCATTACTGCAGAAGTGGCCCTTTATCCCCTGAGGTAGGGCCCAGATTGCTAGACCCTGTGTAAAATTATGTCTATGAGAGTAAGACACTTCCTGTCACTAGAGGCATGCAAACAGAAGCAGGATGAGGCTAGGCATGGAAATTAGAGAAGACTTCTGGCCAGCGAATGGTTTGGATTCAGTGGCCTGGGAGCACACGTGTCCTCATTTGTTCCCCTAATGCCTAGCATGATGCCTGGCATGTGGTAGGAACTCAATCAATTATTTTTTTTTAAAGATTTTATTGGGGAATTGGGAGAGGGGAACAGTGTTGGGGAATTGGGGAAGGGGACCAGCCAAGTTGTTGTTCTTCAATCTTCGTTGTAGAAGACGCCAGTCGCCATCTGGCTGCCGGTTGTCAGTTCGTGGCCTCTAAGCTCAAGGTGCTGTGTTCAATCTTAACTGCGGGTGGGCGTAGCCACCATCTCATGTAGGCTTGATGTTAAGAGCGCACGCTCTATCTACTGAGCCATCCAGGCAACAGCTCAGCTCAAGGTGCCGAGTTCAGTCTTAGTTGCGGGTGGGCAAAGCCCACCATCAAACAGGCAATCTTGTTGTTACACCAGCTGAGCCATCTGGCCACCTGTTGGCAGCTCAGCAACAGCTCAGCTCGGGCACAATGTCACTGGCCCATGCAGTGGCCCTGTTGCTCAGAGCCCGTGCTCTTAAGCCAACTCTTAACCAACTGAGCCACTCAGCCGGCCTGAACTCAATCAATTCTTGATTCTAGAACAAATAAATGTGGGAGGACTAAAAGAAATTGGCTCGTGCAAGGGAGTCATTAAAGGGAATTGGTGCTCAACCCAGACCCAGGTTTGGGCAGTGCATCCCATGGGTTTATTGACATCGTGCCAAGTACCTGAAACACAAAGGAAAGGTTGTGTTTCTTATGCTTCTTAGCTGGTGAAAAACTGTAGAGAAAGACATCCATCTAATGTGATAAAAGAACCACCAACATTGGGGCTTGACAGAGCAAAAATATGCTCTGATCATGGTGTAGGGGTCACAGTGTTGGGAGGACTGGAGACTCATCTTGCCAGAGACCCATTGTGTGAGCTCAGTTTCCCCACCTGCACAATGGGAGAACCAAGGGGTCAACCTCTCAGGGCGCTTCTATGCTGATACCCTAGGAGTTCCTGAAGTCAAAGCAGCCTGGCTCAGGCCCAGAGGAAATAGGAGATTTGGGGCTGAGCCAAGAGGTCTATCAAATTGTAGCTCAAAAGGCCACGATGAAAGCATATTCTGAAGGTCAAGTCACACAGAGTAACTGATGAAGCAGGCCCTGTGGGGGGACAGGTGGACGAGCCCACTGATAGGCCCAGAGGCCAGCAGTCCCTTGAGGCACAATGTATGCTTCGTGCATGGAGTCCAGAACTGACCTGAAGAGACAAGTCAGGTTTCATGGGAACAGTGAAAAGCAACGGCTCAGAGGATTCCTTAAAGCCAGGAGGACCCTCAGAGACCAGCTAGCCCAGTGATTCTCAAAGTGTGATACCTTGGCCAGCAGCAGTATTACCCAGGCCTACTGGGTCAGAAGCTCTAGGGAAGGAGCCCAGTAACCTGTGTTTTAACGAACTGCCCAGGTGATTCTTGTGCATTTGAGTGCCTCTGATCCAGCCCATTATTTCCCAAACTATGTTGGTAGAATATTTATCTACAGTAGGTTAATGGGCACTCTGTAAAGGGAGGGTCTATGGCCAAATAAACTTGGAGATCACATGTTCTACACTGCATTTGGAAAGTCACAGATCACAATGGTACATTAAAGGCTCTGAGAAGTCCTGCACTAAAGAGTTTTATTTACTTCCCTTTAACCCAGTGTTGTCTCAATTTTATTTTTCAGATTGCCTACTAACATTTCCATTAACACTTTTAGGGAAATGCTGATCCAAATCATTTTCATATTGACAAATTGCAGCCTAGGGGTACGGGGATTGCCCAAAGTCACAGAGGGAGTGTGTGTGTCAGAGCTGGAAAAGACCCTAGCAATATGCCTCACCCCAAAAAGAGGCTCTGTGGGTTCCCCACCATCCTGCACCCTCTTTCCCTCATTTGCAGCTGTGCGTCCCTCCAGAGCCCTGCAGTATGGAGCCAGTCAATAGGACAGAGGTCTCTGAGTTCTTTCTGAAAGGGTTTTCTGGCTACCCAGCCCTGGAGCACTTGCTCTTCCTTTTGTGCTCAGCCATGTACCTGGTGACCCTGCTGGGGAACGCCGCCATCGTGACAGTGAGTGTGCTGGACGTGCGCCTGCACACGCCCATGTACTTCTTCCTGGGCAACCTCTCCATCCTGGACATCTGCTACACGTCTACCTTCGTGCCCCTGATGCTGGTCCACCTCCTGTCAGCCCAGAAGACCATCTCCTTTATTGGCTGTGCCATCCAGATGTGCCTGAGCCTGTCCACAGGCTCCACAGAGTGTCTGCTGCTCGCCATCATGGCCTACGATCGCTACCTGGCCATTTGCCGGCCCCTCAGGTACCCAGTGCTCATGCGCCACCAGCTCTGCTTATTACTGGCAGGAGCCGCCTGGCTCCTCTGTCTCTTCAAATCGGTGACTGAGACTGTCATCGCCATGAGGCAGCCCTTCTGTGGTCACCACATCATCAGTCACTTCACCTGCGAGATCCTGGCAGTACTGAAGCTGGCATGCGGTGACACGTCAGTCAGCGAGGCTCTCCTGCTGATGGGCGCCATTCTGCTGTTGCCCGTGCCCCTGGCATTCATCTGCCTGTCCTACACGCTTATCCTGGCCACCATCCTGAGGGTGCCCTCAGCCGCCGGGCGCCGCAAAGCCTTTTCCACCTGCTCGGCGCACCTGGCGGTGGTGCTGCTTTTCTACGGCACTGTCATCTTCATGTACATGAAACCCAAGAGCAAGAAGGCCCACATCTCCGATGAGGTCTTCACAGTCCTCTATGCTGTGGTCACACCCATGCTGAACCCTGTCATCTACAGCCTGCGGAACAAAGAGGTGAAGGAGGCCGCGGGGAAGGTGTGGGACAGGAGGCGGACCTCCACGTGAGGGAGGGCTCGCAGGTTAGTAGGCGAGGCCTCATGTGCCTAAAGTGAGGACAACGTAGGGAGCAGGGCTGTGCTTCTGGAATCTTCATCCCAGAAAGGCAGCACCAAGTCCCACTGATCTGCTACAGAATAGCTCGTGATCTCCCTTCTGCTCCTTCCCCCAGCATCACTCTCGGCTGGCTCTTGGCATCTCTCTCTGCATCTTTACACCAGTCCCCTGGCTGGCCTCAAGATTCCAGTCTTACTCCTTCCTATTTATCCTCCAAGGGGCATCCAGAGGGATCTTTTTGAAAAGCACATGTGATCGCATCACTCTCCTGACTGAAACCCCTAAATGGCTCCCCACTGCTCTCTTGACAAAGTGCAACATCTTCAGTGGGGCATTTGAGGTCCTTACCAGCTGGCCCTGCTGGCCCTGAGTAACCCCCCAGACTTCCACCCCACATTCCTCCTCCTGGCAGCCACACACACCAGCCAAGTGTGAGCCTCAATATTGCCCAGCACTGCCCAGCTCTGTGCTCTTCTTAGCTCTTCCCACAAAGCGGCTCCCACCCTGCACACGACTCCACGTGTAAAAGGGCAGCCTGACCCTCATGGCCCAGTGCAAATGCCACCTCCACCAGGAAGCCGCCCCACTTTGCTCCTCTCACTGTGCCCTGCTTTACATTCAGTGTTCCCATAAGAGCAGGGAGCATCAGAGTCCACTCTTTCCCAAAGCCCAGCCCTGCCCAACCCCAGGCCCCTCACAGATTTCTTAAATAAATAGGTGAACATGTCAATGTAGGGATGATAATGGCAGAGCCTGGGGTCCTTCCCAAATCTGAGCAGAGCTGAAATGAAGTTCACAGGTGACAGCCACAGCCTAGTGCCTCTGAGAAGTGACAGTAGAGGCAGCAATGAGGCCGAGTCCAAAATTCCCAGATCCGCCAGGACACCTATCACCCCGAGCAGCCCAGGGCCTGGATTCCCCCATCTCCCTCTGGTAGGAGCAGCAGCAGCTTCTGGTATCTCCCTGCCCAGCATCCAGGCCTCACCTGGCTTTGGGGAGACCTGCTCTATGCCTCCTGACCCCTGTCCCCTGGGATCCTGCCATAGCTGCCCCTTCTTGGTGCTCAGCCTCTTCCCAGCCTCCCCTTCTGAGAGCTCAGTGAACACACAGTGGAAATGGACCCAGATTCACACAGCATCTCCATTCCGTGCTACCCTCTGGCCTCAGTGGCACCGTCTATATGACGGGAGAGCCGGGCTCGGCCTCCAAGCAGGTAAGCACAGCCCTTGCTTGCGCTCTCAGCTCCCCTCCCAGTCCGTCTTTCTGCTTCTGTTGGTCAGAATAGAGGCACAGAGGAGAGAAGCACATTCCGTTCCCCACCCCTCAACCTTCTCTGACCAAGACCTAGCTCATCTTAATTGATTCACAAAGGGAACAGCTGACCCCTTCTGTGCCCATGTTGCAATCAATGCAGGCTGCCAGCCAAGATGTGCCGCTGGGCCTTCGATGCTACCAGAGTTTGGACTTAACCCTGTGGGCACTGGGGATTTACAGTCACATTTACTTTTAGAAAGGCCACTAATCAGATACCACTCTTCACCCATGAAATTGGTGAAGCATCTTTTTAATGCCTGTTGTTAACTGAGATGTAGTGAAGTAGGCACTGCTGGTGGGGATGGGAATAAATTAAAATGAACTTCCTGAAAAGTGAGTGAGAGTATGAATCAAGAGACTTAAAAACTCCCGGACCCTTTGACCCAACACCTCTACTTGTAGGATTAAGTCTAAGAAGATAATTAGAGGCACAAAGATTTATGTACAAGGATATTAATCATGGTATTATTGTTTATAGTAACAAGAAAATTATAAGGATCTTAATGTCCAACCATAGAAGAATGTTAAAATAAACCCTGGTGTAGTCCAATGGTAGAATGTGATGTAGCCGTTAGAAATCTTACTTTTTGAAGAACATTTGATGATGGGAAATGCTAACAATGTAACTGCAAGGGGGCGCAGTTCTATGAGCAGTTAGAAAAGTGGTAACAATGTCGAACTGCGTTCTTGACAAAAATTCCAAAAGACAAATCATAGTATAATGGGAAATTTCCCAGCAGCTGCTGCTTTATTTAGAGCTGTTTTTTCAGTCCCTCGACTGTGTCAAGTTGTTATTCTTTATCGTGGAGAAAAAGGAAAGAGGAGGAGATGGGAAGGGTGAGAGAAAGGAAACCTGTAGAAATTCATGCATCTGGCTGAATCCCGAACTTAACTGTCCCTCATAAGTGCTCGGGGTCTCACACCCTAAACAACAATTCATTTTCCTTAAACTTTCATGAAGCTAGGTCATCACCGCAGTTCTGGAAAGAGACGGCCCATTTCACAGCCCAAGACACCCAGACCTAGGGCAGAGGAGTCACAGCTCCCCGATTCCTGGATCCAAGGGGCAGGATTGTAAAGAGACCTGGTCTTCAGATTCTCCGTCCAGTGTCTCTTCTGGGCCCACCCCACCCCAGCTAGACGCCCCCTGGGGCAGTGCAAAAAAACTAGGGTCTCTGAAGCCCCACAGCTGCAAAACCTGCAAACTTGTGTAGTTGCAGAGTTTGAACTTTAAATTGGGCAGGGACTGTGAGGTCCCTGAGGTCAGGGAGCAGGCAGGCTGTCTGTGTGGCAGGGGACCAGGAGGCTGATCCCCCGGGCTTGGCCCTGGCCCATCCCAGCACAGTGTGTCTGCTGGTAATGTACTCGGCACTTCCCAGCTCTGCTCTCCCAAGCCTCAGGTCAGCTCACCTGGCAGCCCACTCCAGCTACCTGCATGGACTAATGCCACTGGGCCAATAGGGAGGAGGCAAGGAGAATCCATAGCATGTTGATTATTCTCATGAAATCTTTTGAAAACATATAATAAAAACCAGAATATTTGCTGGGGAAGAGGACGTAATGATACTAATAATATCAGCCACCACTCATTGATTCTTTACCACGGGCCAGGCGCTGTGCTAAGAGCTTTGCATGCATCATCTCACTGGATCCTCAAAATAACCTCACAAGGAAATACTATTCTTATCTCCACATTACAGGTAAGAAAGGTGAGGCTGAGAAAACTGTTAGCAAGTGGTAGGTCTGGGATTTGGGCCCTGGTTGGTCTGACTCTGAAGCCCACACTCGCCTGCTCTGCTATACAGCAGAGATGACGAAGCAGGGATCCTAGATCCAGGCCTGTCAGGGAAATAGGAACAGAAGATTTCGTCTTGCTATGTCCCTCACCTTTCTTTTAAAATAATTTGTGAAGCCTAAAATGAGAATTAAATGGTTCAAACTAGATGTATCAGCCAATGAAATTGATATGCTATTTACCTTTGCAAAGTAACCCTGGGACTGTTAGGCCTCAGGGTTGGAAGTTGCTAGAAAGATGTGATGAAATGTTTTGGAGGTTACAGAGTAGCAGAGATCATCTAATTCAATGGTTCCATTTCACAGAAGAAGAAATGTGACCAACGTCACACAACAGAATCAGAAGAAAGACAAGAATCGAACCTGAATCCCTTGCTCCCAGTCCAGGGCTCCCAGTCCCGGTTCATGGCACCACCCTGCCTCTCAGGAGATGCAAAACTGGGGAGTGGAATTATTCTCAGAGACACTCAATTTCCTATCTCCCTGTGAACCTGATTTTCCAGGACATGACAGAGTGTGAGGCATTGGCTGATAGATGCTAGAGTGGTTTTCTGAGTGTATTGTGAAACGCCATCATACCCAAACACTCAGCAATACTTCCGGTTCTCCTTCTGGGCATGTGGTAGGATTACACAGGGCCAGCAGGTTGTGGGCCGATGTGACAGGTGTCACTTCTGGATCAGAGCATTTAACAGCTAGTGTGAGACGCTCTAGTGTGTTCTTTCCCAGCCGTAACAATTGATGATGTCCCAGATGGTGGAGCCTCCATTAGCCAGAGTCTCTGAGGAGGAGGACATGGAATAGAGCCCCTGAAAACCTACAATGGTGATGTAACATGAAAGAGAAGTAAACCTTTGTCATGGTAAGCCACTAAAATTATGAGGTTACTGCCGCAAAACCTAGCTCATCTTAATTGATTCACGAAGGGAACAGCTGTCCCATTCTGTGCTCATGCTGCAATCAAAGCAGTAACCAGGCAGCATGGTATTTTCCAGACACAGACTTATTTCTTGGGGGGCCATAAGCCTGTGGCCTCATGGGCTGGTTCTAATTTCCATGAATGTGTCATGATCAGATTCTTAAATTGTGAGGAATCTTACTCTTCTCCTAACTTAGCTCTTCAGAAACAGCACCTGTTATTGCAGGTAGGAGACTGGCGCCCCCAAGTTCTTCTCCCGGCAATCACAAGGGCTGCATGGTTCTGTTGATGTGTGTGTTGGGAGAGGGCAGTGATCTCAAAGGTAAGACATTTGGGATCAGGATTTTTGGCAGAATAGCAGTAGGTCTTCAATGGCAATCACTGACACCTGAGTGCAGGCACTAGAGGGTGGCAGTGATGAGTCGCTATGTTAATGGCTGTGTGAGCATCATGTTGTTGGGATGTTAAGTTCTATGGAGACATCTGGGAAGACTGCACAGAGGTGGCGTGTGTTAGCTGAGCCTTGAAGGATGAGTAAAAGAGAAAGGCCACTCCAGGCAGTAGAAAGAGTATGAGAAGGATGAGACAGGAGAGTGTGCAGTTTGTCCATTAATGGGGAGTGGTCTGGTGAGGCTGGAGCAGGCATGTGTGAAGGGATGTAGAGCGGGGAGAGGCAGGAAGGCAGGCCACAGCCTGATCATAGAAGCCCCCAAGTGCCTCTGCCATTCCCACTTGGTATTTTCATTAGAGACAACGGTGAGGAAGAGCGATGCAGCGTCAGGTGGTTTCCCACCTTTCACCTGCTTGAAAATAGCCCCACACCTGTGTCCAGTGTCAGACTTTGAGGTTAATATAGGTCTTTTTTGTAGCAACACACCCAACAAAGACCAAGCCATTATACTTGAATCTGAAATACTGTGGATACAATTCAGCCACGTGAAGTCATAACCTAGAAAAACAGATGCTTTAACTTCTTTCCAGATTTCAGGTTTTACTTTGCGTTTATATCCCAGACTCAAAGAGAATCTCAGAGGTTTCTAAAGCCCAGAGAGAGGGAGGGATGTGTCCAAGGTCAGAGAGAGGGAGAGGTTAAGATAAAGTGTGAACTCTGTTAGGGCAGAAGCCATGTCTGCCTCTCCTGTATCCAGCACCTAGCACAGGGCCTAGCACATAGTAGGTGCTCAACAAATATTTGTTGAGTAAGTGAATGAATGAGCCATCACACTCAGGCAGCTCTTTATCTTTTCACCAAATCTTAGCAAGAGAAACCCCACCTTGAAATGTTCATGTGGATAAGGTCAGTTGCTGACCCAGATTAATCCTCTGCCCCTGTATGTTCCAGAAACTCCATTAATAATCACCCAGATTCAGACTGGAGGAGGGAAAACTGGCACAGACTCTGGGGAGAAAGGGGGTGAGGACTGATGCTGGAGCTCTTGTCTGGAGATACTGAGCACACAGACCCAGCAGGTGCCTTGTGGCTGAAGACCAAGTCTTTGCTCTGGAGCCTCGGTAACATGTTAGCGCTGGGTGGCTCACCAGCACCTTCATGTGTATGTCTCATCTGATCTACACAGCAGCCCCCGTTTTTCAAAAAGAAACCGAGTTCTCAGAGAAGCCAAGTGGCTTGGTCCATATCACACACCTAGTCAGTGCTAAAGCTGGATGCAAAGCTAGGTTTTTTTAATCATGCATTGATTATCTGTTGAGTGACTATCCTTGGCAGCACTCACTGTAGGAGGTGCTGGAAGAAAGGAGGCAGAGTGCTGCTCTCAAGTGTAGTAGAGAAAACAGGTATACAGCACATCATACAAGAACACAGATGGTCAGGGGCTAAAGAAGCACAAGCTGGTAGCTGCAGGGGGCAGGAGGGAGAAGAAAGGAGGGCAGAGAGAGCAGGGCTCTGAGGAATGAACAGGAACGCCCCCGACTGGGGAAGGGAGGACATGCCTATAAAACGGAACTTCTTAGGTAAAGATGTGGACTGGGAAAAGACATGGTTTATTTAGCTCTTTTGCTGGACGTTTGGATATGTTTTCCTGTGGTTTGCACTATCAACAACAAAGATGCTTTGTATGCCATATTGTGTAACATTTTGTAATAAATGTTTAATGCCACCAATGCCATTAGATTCTAATTTATCTATACTTAAATTTAATTGATACCACTTAGTATGTTTTGGGTGTTTTTTGCTAAAATTCAATATAATGGTAAATTTATCACCATATAACAAAGGTTTAAAATAAAAATAATATCATTTATGTACAAAGCAGCTCAAAATGTTATGAAATGTATAAAATAGTCAAAATATCAACTTTTTATTTTTTGTGGATTTTTGACATAGTTTGAAAAAAAAAACTTGAAATCAATGCAGTGAAACAGTTAAGAGAGGGTGAGCCCTTTGGCCCCTACAAATGGAAGATGTAATCAAGGAGGAGGAAGGAAGGGGAAAATCCATCCCTGAAGCTTAGACAGCGCTCCAGTCTGCCCCAGGACATTGGTCTCACAGGCAATCCAGGAGTGAAGGGGCTGGGGAGGGGATGATTATATCTTCTGAATGATAAAGTTCACATTTAGCTCCTATTTCTCCTTTAGACCAGAGGTCACCTGGGTCATAAGACAGCTTTCCTGTCTAACAAGACTATCCGGTGCCTTGGGGACACTTCAGCTCCCTCCTGTGAACACCTGACCCTGGCATTTCCCAAGGAGGCAATGAGACCAGCTCAGAAGAGCAGTAAGGCCATCTGGGAGAAAGCTACAGCCTCTGCCCACCCCTCCCTATATAAAGCTAGTCAATGGCTGACAACACCTCTGCCAGATGAGGCCCTGGGCTTCCCTCCCTGTGTGACATCATTACCAGTATCATTTATCCTAAAAAGCAATATGAAGGCCAAGAAGGAGTCACTTGGCTTTCATGGTCAGGGTTAAATCCTGTGACCAGTAGTGGCTCTATTGGGATATGTATGGTCTTAATGTTCTTCAAAAGATCAACAGGTGGTCTATGATTCTTTAAGGAGTGGTGACCAGAAATCAGGCTTACACATCCTATGGCGCAGAAATACTCAACCTTTATGGCCCAAAGGAACACTGGGTGAGCATCATCCATCACCCACCTGCCTTCCAGAGCTCATCTCACCTAATTCAGGGAAGAGGGGAAGGCCTTGTGGTAGGTGTGGCATTTTTCTGTCCACTTATCTTTCTTGCTGCTGTAGCCCCAGGACTTAAAAAATACCTCACAGAGTAGGCCTTCAAAAAATATTCAGCAATGAATAAAATACCATGACATAATTCAGCCATATGAAGTCATAATCTAGAAAAGATGCTTCTTTCTAATAGCCAAGAACTCTTCAGATTCTAAAGGAGAGTGCCAAACACGAATCTGACTCTATTGTCTCCCCAGAGCCCACACTGGGGACAGCAGCAAAGACCCTAAGGGACTAGAATGTGCCTCACCTCCCCTAAGTTATGTCAGAACTGCAGAGCTGAGAGGGCCAGCTGGCAGACCTGATGTCCAACTCTCTCATTATACAGATGGTGAAACCAAATTCCAGAGTTGGGGCTGACCTGCCCCAGGTCACACATCCAGGTTGCTTGGCTCCCAGGCTAGCCAGAGCTTTTTCCAACACCTGTGTGGCCCAGATGCAGAAGGAGAGAGAATGAGATGGGTAAGTCCAACCAGACAGCAGTGACAGAGTATGTCCTGCTGGGGCTACATGAGCACCATATCCTAGAGATGGTCCTGTTTGTGCTCTGCCTGGGCATCTACTCTGTGAATGTGCTGGGGAATGCCCTCCTCATAGGGCTGAACATGCTGGACCCCCGCCTGCACAGCCCCATGTACTTCTTTCTCAGCAACCTCTCCTTCATGGACATCTGTGTCACATCCTCCTTCGTGCCTCTCATGCTAGTCAACTTCCTCAAAGCCCAAAAAACCATTTCCTTCCCTGGCTGTGTCCTGCAGATGTACCTGACCCTGGCGATAGGCTCCACAGAGTGCCTGCTCTTGGCTGTGATGGCCTACGACCGTTACGTGGCTATCTGCCAGCCGCTTAGGTACCCAGAGCTCATGAGTGGGCAGACATGCGTGCAGATGGCAGTGCTAAGCTGGGGGACAGGCTTTGCTAACTCACTGCTGCAGTCCATTCTCACCTGGAGAGTCCTCTTCTGTGGCCACAGTGTCATCAACCACTTCTTCTGTGAGATCCTGGCAGTGCTGAAACTGGCCTGTGGGGACGTCTCTCTCAATGCGCTCCTCTTGGTGGTGGCCACAGCTGTCCTGTCGCTAGCCCCGTTCCTGCTCATCTGCCTGTCCTACGTTTTTATCCTGGCTGCTGTCCTGAGGGTGCCCTCTGCTGCAGGCCGGCGCAAAGCCTTCTCCACCTGCTCTGCCCACCTCACAGTCGTGGTGTTTTTCTATGGGACTATCTCCTTCATGTACTTCAAGCCCACGGCCAAGGACCCTGACTTGGATAAGATTATTGCATTGTTCTATGGGGTCGTGACACCCTCACTGAACCCCATCATCTACAGCCTGAGGAATGCAGAGGTGAAAGCTGCTTCCATAGTTCTGCTGGGGGGAGATCTGCTCTCCAGGAAAATGTCCCACTTTCGCTGTTGCTCTCCAACACTATCAGGCAGGAGAGGCTAAGTTATATTGTGGCAATGACTTCAAAATCTCAGTGGTGTAAAACCACAAAGCTTTATTTCTTGCTCATGCTACAGGTCCATTAGAGGTTGGCTTGGGGGGTGGGGTCTGCTCTGCATCATCATCTTCATCCCTTTGAGACTCAGGATGAGAAAGCAACTACCACCTGAAACACTATTGGTTGCCATGACAAAAGGAAAAGAGAGAATGACAAGACATGTCTTGTTCACACTGTCCTCTGGTAAGGCCTGGAACAATTTTTCAAAGCCAGTTTAGACACCATCTCATTCATGCATCCTTTCCTGACGCACTTTGAAAGTGTTCTCTTTCCTCTACATCCTCCAGCACTTTGTTGGAAACTTTCATTTGGTAACTATCCCATTCTGCTTTGCATTCATGATATTTCACCACGATGTGAGCTCCTTGAGGGCAGGATTTAGCCAGGTCTGGCTCATCTCTACAGCTACCACAGAGCTTTCCTATAGAAGGCTTACTGAACTGAATTGTCACTCGGAAGCCCTCACAATGTCACCATGTGGGGATTGAGTCCTGTGCTGCTGAGCATTATGTAGACAGACACAGTGAGGGGGCCGCAGTACTTGCCGGCCACAGCCCTGTATTTCTCGAAGGTTGGGTTGTTGGCATCTTGGGCTCTCCCCTCTACTGAGACAAGTCAGGAGATAACCAAGGACCCCATATTGGGACCAGTGTTCCGGACCTGGTTCAGCTGCTCTGCCCAGCATGGTTTTCTTGCTGGCCCTCTCCCCGCAGGAACCCCACAGGTACCTCAAACTCAAAGTATCTGAAACTGAAATCATTCTGCCCAAATCTGTGTACTATCTCAGGGAGTGGCACCATCAACCACCAATCACCAAGCCAGAAACATGGCAGCCCTGGACTTGCTGTCATCCCTCACCACCCCACATTTCCAGTCAGTCACTAAGTCCTATAGCATCCACCTCCTAACAGCTCTTATTAATAAAGCGGTCCCCTTCTTTCCACTAACACAGCCTTAAGCCTCCCCCATCTCGCTCAAATATTGCAACAGTTGTGTTACTTTTGTCCTCCAAACTCTCCAAAATCCATCTCTGCACTAGCCATCAAAACACCAATATGAAAAAAACAAAATGCCAATCTGATAATCCTACTCTCCTGCTTAAATTCCTCCAATGGCTCATTTCCCACAGGATAAAAACTGGACCCTAGCTATCCTTCCAACCTCATTACTGGTTCCTTGCCTCCACCCCTACCCACCCACACACACTCTCCAGGCCCAGGCTCACTGAACTAGTCCCAGTTCCCCAATAAATATCAGTCCTTCCATCCTCTGGGTCTCTCCCTTGCTGTTCCCTCTCATGTCCAAACACCTCTTGACCTTTAGCTACCACATACTGGACACATCACATATCAGGCTAGGCACTGCACTGTGTTCTAAGTGTTTTACTGACTGGGGACCAGGTGGAATGATGGAAATCTCAGGCGAGGGATGCAATATAGACACTGGTGACCAGAGAGAACACTCTCCCAACATCTTAGCCTTATGAAAAATCATTCAATCCTCACTCAATACACCACCGCACCCCGCATCAACACACTCAACACAAAGCCTCTCCTGACCCCTCCCAGCTGGGGGTGTGTGTTGAGTCTATGCCAGCTCCATCTCCCTCTTCAGCACCATCTGTATTCTGCTGACTCTGTCCTGAATCCCAGCTATTTGGGTTCATGCGTCCTGGTGACCTGACTCTATACATCTTAATGTGATGGCATATTTCCAATACAGGAACAGACACCTAGCCCACACCTCTCACTCCTTCTCACCATTCAGTTGGCCATATCACTCTCTACTCAGTGCCCCAAGGAGGAGATGTCCTGCAAAAACCAGAGAATAAAATGATGCTTTCCTGGCTTTTGACCTTCAAAAGCCTAGACTCGAAAGGGAACAGAAAAGACTTAAGGCATGGACAAAAGATTTGAGAGAAAACATAAGTAAGGCATCCCCAACTCCAGATTAACAAAAGATTCGCTAAACTAGGGAGTAGGAAGAGAGAGGAGGAGGGGACATAGTGAGACCATTGGCCCAGAAGGGTCCAAAAAGGGAGGGGCTCTGAGCCTCATTCCCTAGACCACACCCCCGGACAGGTCTGCAGGATCTGAAAGCTGGAGCAACTCATGCCTTGGTGGTCAAGTATAATTAAAATCCAGAGCAGGACTCCAAAGTAGAAATGGTTTCAAGGTGTGTCTGGGTAGCCAAGTCTTTGCACATGGCCCAGCAGTGGTAGAGAGCATCAGACTAAAAGGGGTGATACAGAAGGGACTAAGAAGCTGCTCTGGGAGGGTCTACCTGCACCGCTGACTGGGGGCCCAGTGGAATGATGGAAATCTCAGGGAATGGGTGCCGTACGGACTGTGGTGACCAGAGAACACTCTCCCAGTACCTTTGCATTATATAAGACCCTTGGAACTCAGCTGTGACTCTTGTGGAAAGAGAAGAAATCCCAAATTGACTAAAGATTGTTTCTGACACTAAAGCAAAATGGGGATTCAAAACAGAAGTTATATTGTTGTGATATTTCTTGCACGTCTGAGATTTGTACTTGGTAGTCCAATTTCCTGGGACCTCTGCTTGCTTCCCAGCTGGGTGTGATCACCACAAGGGAGGTCTGTCTCACTGGTTTAAACCATCTCAGTGCATGCGCACGTGCGCGCACACACACACACACACACACACACGTGCACGCACACACACACGTGCACACACACACACACGTGCGCGCGCACACACACACATGTGCACACACACACACACACTCACTCACAACTCCCTACTCCCAGCTGCTGCAGCCTGACATGATGACACAAAAGCCTCAGACAGTAAGTACAGCAGCTCATTCCAGCTGGGCTCCCATCACCCCTGCTGTCCCCTCAGGGTCCCTCGTTCCCGCCCCTCCCCGCCCTTGGCCCCAGAAAAAAAGGCAGCGCAGAACCAGCAAATACTTCATTGGAGACACAGCAGACCACCTGCATCAACTCAGGATACCAGCCCCAGTCCCGGCCCCACTTGTCCTGCCACACCCCTCCCAGCACAGCACAGCCCAGATGCTGCCTCTGGGGAGGAGGCCTGAGACCAGAGTTGCCGAGCCGCTAGGAGGACCTGGAGACTCAGTTTCCCCAAGATGGACTCCATTTCCTCAGGAATGATATCATGTCCCAGGAGGGTGTTATCTCCCCAGGAAGGAATCCATGTCCTCAGGAGGGCTCCACACCTCCAGAAGGACACCTTGGTCCTGAGGGGGCTCTGTGGCCCTGCACAGGCTCCAGTCCTTAAGTGGGATCCATGGATGCAGGAGGCCTCCAGGTCCTCAGAAGTATGCCAGGTCCCTGGGAGAGTTCCATGTCCTTAAGAAAGGGCTCTCTGCCCCTAGGAAGAGTTCATGTTCCCCATGGGCCAGGCCCAAAGCCCCTCTCAGCTGGCACAGATGCTGCTGACAGTGGCCCCTCCTGAGCCCACAAGGCCCAGCTCTTCCTGTTCATTGATGCACAGCTGGTAACCACATCCCCGGGCCCGGGCTCCAGATGGGACCCGGTGGTCAGTCTTGGCACGAGGGGGTAGCAAGAACCCCACGCTGCCAGCGATGAGCATATGCCAGATGCTGTGAATGTAGAAGTAGTTGTCTCGGGTCTCCACGAAAGCATAGAGCAGGATGGCACTGCCTGCAATGAGGCTGCCCGGGCACAGGTAGAAAAGCCAGCGGCGCCATGTGGGTGGGTAGCAATGCCTGCGGCGGACGCTGCGTACTGTCTGGGGGGCAGAGAAGTGGGGCTCAGGAATGCGAGGCCTTAGAACCCAAGCCAGAGCCGGCCACTCAGGTTTTCGATGAGCCCTTGTGACCTGTGGGCACCTGCCAAGGCTGGAATGGGCACTGTGAGCAGCGGTGATGATGACTGGGTCTGAGCCCACCTTAAATTTGGTACCAGACACCCAGGGCCCTGCACCCAAGTCTTGCTGGGACACTCCCCACCTCCCCCCGCCCCAACAGCCCTCCCCACCCTTACCCAGGCTGTGGCCAGGATCCCCAGGGCGAAGAGACTGGGTCCAAGCAGATTCCAGAGTCCATGCCGGTCGAGCTGCAGAGCCATGGACAGCAGCATAGCCCCCAACAAATACAGCACCTAGAGAAAGAGGACTCCAGGGACCGGGCCGGGATGGAGAGCGGCACTCGGTAATGCCCCCAGGGAGAGGGTGGGAGTGGATTTAAAGTAGACTTTAGCTATGGTTGTCCCCCAGGGCCCACGCTGGACTGACCTGCTTGACCACAGGTTGTAAACGAGCCATGGCAATGACAGTGACCCACACGGACATTAAGGAGCCCAGGAAATCACAGAACTGCAGCACATCGTAGTCCATGATGCAGAAAACCACAATGCCCGGCTGGTCACAGGCATGATAGAACTGGAGGAAGAAATGACAGGCACTGAGAGAACTGGGGTTCAGGTCTACAAAACTGAGGTTCAGGTCTACAAAACTGAAGTGGCCACAAAGGTAGAGTGCTGCTGTCAGAGAAGCAGAGGTCAGAGGTCAGAGGCTGCACAGAATTGGGAAATGCCTGACTCCCCACTCCTGAGAATATGGAGGACATGGAAGGGGATCTGGTCTGCCTCATAAGCCATATGTCTCTGGCGGCCCTGAACCTGATCCTCACCTTCCTAATCTTCCTGCTTCTGGAGTGTACTGTAGACAGCACCAGACCAAGGAGGTCCAGGTCTCGAGCTAAGGCCAATCCTTCCCATCCCCTTGTGCTTACTGTGGATCCCATCTATAATCCTCATCCACAGCCCAAGTTCTGGGGCCAGACTCTGGCCTATTGGCCAACCCAGACCCCAGGCGTCCCCTTCATGTCCCAGTCTCCCCTGATAGCTCAGACTCTGAGTTGGGCTTCAGCCCCAGGCCTTGCAGTAACTGGCCCTCTTCCTTCCCTCCCACCCAATGCCATGGTAGACACAGTTAAAAAAAAAAAAAAAGGCAGTCCCTAAGGCCATGGAGAAGAGCATGGCGCTTCACACCATGGGGGAAAATATGGGGACAGGACAGCGTCTACCTCTTCTATGCTGTGGGGAACACAGTAAAGAGCAAGGTATTGAGAGCTTCAAAGGGGGTACAGGGGACACAAGTGGAATTATATCGAGCTGTACCAGGCACCTCAATTAAAGAGCCAAGGTCTGTCATCAGCCCCCGCCCCCCTTCGGTCTGTAGTCCCAATCGCTGTGCCTCTCTGGACAACGCTATCATGGCCTCTGGCATCCTGTGTTCCCTTATTTGTGAAAAGGGTTACCCAGGATTAACCTGAGTCCTCTATGTCTTGGAACATTTGCTGACACCTTTCTCTGAACTTCTTGTAGAATTCACATGATTTGAGTATTTATGATGCCAAACACTAAGAACACATATGGCTGTAAGAATACCTTTGGTGCAAAGATGATGGGAACACATATCCCTCAGAGGATTTATGTCATGTGCCTTATGAGCCCACTCAAAGAAAAGATAGTAGACAGGAGCTCTGAGGACAAATAGCTTCAGACCAAGAACAAACACCATAGCAACATGTTCACTCCTCCCATCTCCTGCTATCCGCCCTGCTCCATGTCAGGAAGAATAAGTTGCTACAGTGATGGAAGCAGGGTTAAGAAGAAAACTAAGAAGCTGTAATGGAAGAGAAAATGTTTTTGACCTACCTAAACTTGATCAAAATCTACTCATTGGAGCTGAGCTTGAGACATGCCAGCAGGTCTTAGGGGGTCAAAAAAGTTTAAGATTCTGCGAATCAATCTGCTTAATCTCTGTCCCTGCATGTTACCCAGGTCCTCTACGAGCCAGGGCATCTCTTGAAGGGAGAAACAAGTTGGTACAGTTGCCAGAGCTGGACTGAAACATCAGAATGAACTGAAGCTGGGACAGGAAGGCTAAGTGCTGTGGCATACAATGGTGGCCTTTGAAGTGTCTTGATCATTGACAGAAGGGGCCCTTTAGGCAATACTTTCAGCCCAGGTCAGTTTCCTCATTATTCTATTAAAAAGCAAACCTAAGTCACCAGGGCTCTCAGCCCCAAACAGAAGTAGCTTTACAGACCTCAGTGAGACAGGTTTCTTGGGTAAGGGAAGAAGGCAGGGATATCCAGTCCACAGCTGAGGAAAGAGAGCTGAGCAGTAGCACCAGTCATTCACTCACTGGCAGTAATAGGGTCTCTGTAACTTCTGGGAAGTATGGAAATGGGAAAACCTCATCTCCTGTTTGAATGAGTTAGAGATGAGAACAAGAAGATGGAGACAAGGCCAGGAAGAAGAATTCAGGAAGAAAGAGCATTATATCCCGAACTCATATTACAAACCATGACACCCCAACCTTAATCAAACAGCAGGTAGGAAAAGCAGGTGGAAAACTGAAGCGAGTCTGTTTGAAAACTGACAGAATCCAGCCCAGATGCAGAGTTGCCACCAATAGAATCGGAAAACAGAGTTGAAAGTTTAGTCTCTAGAGACAAAGGACAAGAAATTGTTAATGTTTCTTTTGAACCTGTTGAAGAGTTCATCCAGTCATTCAAATTATAAAATTATAACTTCAATAGACAAAGTGGAAAGAAAAGGTAAATAACAAAAGGGCAGGGAGAAGCTGGGAGTTTTAAAAAAGAAAAAAGAAGACAGGAAAATTAGGTAGCACTGGGAAACCCTGGGTTTGGTTCCTTCAAATTTTAGGCTGTGAGACTTAAATTTGTGTAACTATCTATTTTCTTTTCCTTTACATGGCAGGTAAAGAATGTTGTCCCAAGAGGAAGAGACTGCCTTGGAATGATCGCTTTAAGTGAAGCTTTCCCAGACTTTTGAAAGGGCTTATATGTTTGGGGACATGATTCCCTGTGAATAAATCAATAAATTGAGAAAATGAGTTCTTATCAGGAAACTTGGAGAGACTTTTCATGTGGGTCCACATCAGCATTAGAATGTTAATGTCTGAATATGCCTAAAAGATTTGTTTATTTTCAACCCTTTCTATCTTCTGATTGAGAGTTAATTTGACTCCTAAACACATTCAATGTTTTGGTCTTTTTTCCATTTTAGCCATAGGACATTGATTATTCTCTACTGCCAAGACCAGATATAAGAACTATAAAGCCACTAAATTACTCTGTACTGCTTTATGTTGGATTTTATTTTTATTATTTATTTATTTAGATGAACCATCCTGCCACCTGTTGGCAGCTCAGTGGCAGCTCAGCTCGGGCCAGGAATCGAACGGCGACTCTGTTGCTCACAGCTCGCACTCTTGAGAGAGCTCTTAACCAACTGAGCCACTCAGCTGGCCCCCCTATGTTGGATTTTATTTGAAAGCATGAATTTTACATTTCAGGCTTAACCAAGCACTGGCTCCATATGCCTGACTTTCAAGTATAAAGAAGGAAATGCCCCAACATTTCTGGAAGAGGGACTTGTAATAAATCCTTCAATCTCAGATAAGAGAGGATATATACTGGCAGAAGAAAAGAAAAGCTGAATTACCTAATACTGGAGACACACTTAAGGGAATCATTAATTGAAGGCTGATTTTTCTCAAATTTCTCTGCATTGAAAAAAAGAATGGTGAATAATGGAGAGTCTGTCACTGAAATGGAGAGGTTTTAGGAGGAAATCATCTCACTAATATTCTA